GGGGGGGGGCGGAGCACCGGATACTGAAAGCAGAGCCCAAAAGCACCTGGGCCCCTGGGGGCCCCTGCGAACTGGCCCCGGAGACCCCGTCCAGGAGGGTGATGGTGGGCGGAGTCAGCAGATCTGCAGCAGAAAGGGGAAAAAATGGCTCCAAATGGGATGTTAAATGTATTTTAAACATGAACACATGTTAAATCATTCCAAATGGTCTGTCTGTTTACTTTGATAGCTTTTCCCTCTGGTTGTGCTGCTTCCATTGGTGTATTTTTATAGAAAAGTGTTCAACCAATCAGATCTAAGCTATTTTTTGTTGCCAGGGTCAAATTTATCTTCCTGGAAGCCTTCACAATATCTGTATAAAAAATATGCAACAATTAAACTGTTCAACCAAACAGATTTCAGCTACTTTTTGTTGCAAGGGTAAAATAAATCTGCCTGGAAGCCTTCAAAATAACTGTAGCATAAATATTTAAATTTGTATCAAATAAACTGCCCAACCAATCAGATTTCAGCTATTATTCAATAAATCTGCTTGGAAGCCTTCACAATCACTGTAGCATAAATGTATACCAATTAAACTGTCCAACCAATCAGATTTCAGCTATTTTCTGTTGCCAGGGTTAAACAAATCTGCCTGGAGGCCCTTACAATCACTTTAGTATAAAATATGTATCGATTAAACTGTCAAACCAATCAGATTTCAGCTATTATTGGTTGCTAGGGTCAAATAAATCTGTCTGGAAGCCTTAACAATAACTGTAGCATAAATATGTATCAATTAAACTGTCCAACCAATCAGATTTCAGCTATTATTTGTTGCTAAGGTCAGATAAATCTGCCTGGAAGCCCTTACAATCACTATACCATAAAATTTGTATCAATTAAACTGTCCAACCAATCAGATTTCGGCTATTATTCTAGAAATCTGCCTAGAATCCTTCACAATAACTGTAGCATAAATGTACAATTAAACCATCCAAACAATCAGATTTCAGCTATTTTTTTGTTGCTAGGGTCAGATAAATCTGCCTGGAAGCCCTTACAATCACTATAGTATAAAATATGTATCAATTAAACTGTCCAACCAATCAGATTTCAGCTATTATTTGTTGCCAGGGTCATAAAAACCTGCCTGGAAGCCCTTAAAATCACTATATCATAAAATGTGTATCAATTAAACTGTCCAACAAATCAGATTTCAGCTATTTTTTGTTGCCAGGGTCAAATAAATCTGCCTGGAAGCCTTCACAACAACTATATGTATCAATTAAACTGTCCAACCAATCAGATTTCAGATATTATTTTATAAATCTTCCTGGAAGCCTTGATAATAACTGTAGCATAAATATGTGACAATTAAACTGTCCAACAAATCAGATTTCAGCTATTTTTTTGTTGCCAGGGTCATAAAAACCTGTCTGCCTTAACAATAACAATATGTATGAACCAATCAGATTTTGAGCTGGCATCAGCAGGGCCCTTTGGCGGGTGACATCATCGGATCCCCAGCTTCTGATTGGACAAACAGAGAGCATCTGTGGGGATGTGTCTACCTGAGCAGGTGACCTCCAGGCTGTACTCGCTCTCGTCGTTATCGGTGACGGTCAGGCACTCCCTCAGGCCGGCGTCCGGCCGCACGCACCCCCCCTTCACCCACCACACCGGCCTCACGTCGGCGTCGTCCGTCACGACCGTTACCACGGCAACACCGCAGCCCAGCCTCCCGCACACGGTGGCGGTCCAGTTCTGGTCCCACACAAAGTCCAGGTCGGCCACCGGCCGCCACTGTCCCCGGTTCTCCATCTCCAACACGCCCTGGCAGCGGCTGGTCCCGCCCCCCAGCCGGAGACCATCTGATTGGAGCAGAGACAGGAAGTCAGTGAGGTCCAGAAACACTGCCCATATATGGTCATTTCCTGTAACAAAGCTGAGGAAAAGTCAATTTTTTTCCTAAAATGATGCGAAGATTTAGGGTTTTACAGCTTCAAATTACATAGATAGATGGATGGATGGATATAGAGAAAAAGATAGATAGATGGATAGGATTTTTTGTGGTTATCTTTTAATTGACAGAAATAGAGCCAAAGTTGAGAGCATCCCTTGATTTTCAGCTTTCTGTGGTGATGTTATTTAAACAAGAGAGATTTCACACAAACGATGGCCGGCAACAATTTCTGAGAGGATTCACCTCTTCTTTGATATGCTACATGACCACCTTCCCATTGGAAAAAAAACTCAGTCGGGATCCAATATGGCGGCTTTCAAGATAGCGGCCATATTGAAAGACAGGCCCCCTCAGTCTTTAATGTTTGGGTGTTTGAATATGTCATTTTCTCTTTAGTTTCTGACAGAAAACGGTTTCCTGTGACGTCTGACTCACCCTGTAGACTATATATATATGTATTATATATATGTTTTTATATATATATATATATATATATATATATATATGCACAGATGTATCTGAAGTATTTGTAAGAATCCAGGTTGTTGAAATTGAGAAGCTGTCGAATACTTCAATGTTAAAAAGTCATTAATTAATGTGATTTTTCTAAAGTTTGAAAATGTCCCAATAATAAAAATGGATTTTTGTAAATAACACCAACAACTTTAGGGGTGAAATTGGACTTTTCAGGTTCTAGTGAGTAGCTGTGAAGGGTTACAGGATCTCTACCTGAGCAGGTGAGTGCTGCAGCCTCTCCCACTGGGCAGCTGCTCCTAAACGGGGCTGACCTCCTACAATCCCGGAGGCCGGACTCCTGCCCCTCACAGTGGAACTCTGTGGCCCCCATGGGGGCCCCCACCTCTCCATAAGGCGCCCCCTCCAGGGCCAGAGGAGGCCCACAGCCCACCTCCCTGCAGACCACCTCTGCGTCCCGCCGGTCGAAGTCCTTCGCACACACGGAGGACCAGGACTGCTCGGACTTCACCTCCAGCCGGCCTGAGCACCGGTCGGCCCCGTTCACCAGCCTGACCGAGTCTGCAGACAGACCAAACGTGGTTAAAACTGGTCTGATTTGGTTAAAACTGGTCTGAGATTGTTCAAACTGGTGTGATTTGGTTTAAACTGGTCTGAACTGGTTAAAA